TTAAAATGAAAAGATAAATATACATTAATATCAATAAAATAAAATAAATACAAAATAATATTATATTATTATTGTTATTATTATTATTATAAGTTGTGGTTCGGTGAAGCTGCAACCTAATGGACCATGATATGAAAAGTGGTTGTTGACGTCAATTATTATTATTCTTATTATTTTTTCATTACTACCTTTTTCAACCTCACAAGATATTTGTAACTGCAAAAAAAAAACTACGTATAAGTAAGTAAATCAGTAATATAGTGTTATGTATGATTCAGACTAAATAAAGGTTCCTAAAAATAGACGTAGATAAAGAAATTGCATAAAAAATTACTCAAATAAAAATGCAATAAACTTGTTAATTTTATAGGTACTTAGTAAAATATTAAAATAATAAGTTTTTTAGGATATTTGTGTAAAATATAAAGGTTATATTATGTTCTAACTACGTTCACGCTTGCGCATATAAAACCGCGGAATTTCACTAGTTTTATTATCAAAATAATAATTGTCAACCCTACCCTAAGTTTGCCTTGATTTTACCAACTCAAACTCGTTTTAGGAGATCAAAACATAGAGAGAAAGATAGGAGACTATTTTTTATTTAATATGGTTGGATCTTTATTTATTTGTATATTTTTTTGTATTTATTTTATTTTATTGATATTTATGTATATTTATCTTTTCATTTTAATTTATATTTATAAAAACCAACCAGATGAGTAAACTATACAGATACCCCAACAATAATAATATAATAATAATAATATTCCACAAATATCACATAACGCCATCTAGTCCCAAGCTAAGCAGAGCTTGTGTTATGGGTACTAGACAACTGATAAACATACTTATATATTTCTAAATACATAAATATTATAGATAAATCATCACACAAACATTTGTCCTGGGTGGGAATCGAAACCACGACCTACGGCATAGCAGTCAGGGTCACTAACCACTAGACCAACAGGCCTGACGATAAATAAAATAAAGTCTCTAGCTCGAGAGGAGAGGAGCCGTGGTAGCTCAGATGGTTAGCGCTTGCTAAAATTTTCACAGTGTGCGAGCAAACCGGGTTCGATCCCCGCCGGCACCAATAATATTGTAATTGCAATTTTAAGTGTTGATTTACCACGTGCTCAGTGGTGAAGGAAAACATTGTGAGGAAACCTGCATGTCTGAGAAATAAGAAAAATAATATTTCGAAGACATGCAAAGTTCGCCAACACGCAGTGGGGCAGCGCGGTGGATAATTCCTTTCCTAGGACCCTTTCAGAAAATAGAATAGAAATTAAAAAATAATAAATCCAAACTTCATTTAAAACCAAACATATAAATTGTAAAATAGCTGCAGATATCTATAACCAAGGAAAAGATATTCCTTTACTCCAACTTGTCCATGTTTCCCAAAACAATTTTTAATTAAGCTTTATATTATAATGCGGATTTTTTATATTTAAAATTTTAATAATAAAGCATTTCGTACGTCTCAGCCGAGGCGCAAATATTTTTCGGCCGCAAATTTATAAGACCGATTTGTTATTCAAACATAAACATGGTTTTTTAATTAAATCTACCAATCATAAAACGACACGCATTTTTATTGAACACTTCCTATTCAATTCACAAAGTACCTATTATATTTGTTTATATAAAAAAGTATATTTAAGTACAATCATAAAACTAAATGGAAACACAAAGTAGGAAAATGCATTGAGTTATAAAACACATAAATCAATGGGCAAATGTAAAAATACTGGAGGCAGCAGCCCTATCGCATGTTTACGTACCGCACGGCTGTAATATTTATTTCTAAGATACGGCCGAGTTACAATATACCGTGACGTAAGCGCATCGGTTGGTAGGTACTCAAATAATATTATGTTTGCGGCGAAATACAAAACGCGGCGACCAGCGACGCGGCTACCCCGTATGAACGCATACAGCGTAATGCCGCCCGCACTCTGCGCACGCCCCTTTATCATAGAAGTCACACAATTTTCGGAATTATTTCAATTAAAAGAGAAAAAACGAACTTAAAAATTTAAATAAAACGTGGAGAATATAGATTTTTTCATTATCTATCCATTAGTGTTATCTTCAAATGATTAGAGCGTTGCGTTTAGCAACAGATGCATGTAATCAAGAATTTTAGTCATTTTTTAAAAGTTGATTTTAAATGTATTTATAGCACATAAAAATAAATTAGAACGTGGAATGCGATGATAAGATATCGAACACTAATAATGTACTTTTAGATGTAGTTTATTTTTCATAACTAATGAGATAATAGAGTCTGAAAAACGCACTTTTGCCAGGTTTTGGTCAGGGTAGCGCCTTAATATCACAGTATAAGTATAGTCTTTAATATATAATATATATGGCCGCGTCGCTGGTCGCGGCGCGTCCGTATTTCGCCGCAAACATAATATTATTTGAGTACCTACCAACCGATGCGCTTACGTCACGGTATATTGTAACTCGGCCGTATCTTAGAAATAAATATTACAGCCGCGCGGTACGTAAACATGCGATAGGGCTGTCTGCCTCCAGCATTTTTACATTTACCCATTGATTTATGTGTTTTATAACTCAATGCATTTTCCTACTTTGTGTTTCCATTTAGTTTTATGATTGTACTTAAATATACTTTTTTATATAAACAAATATAATAGGTACTTTGTGAATTGAATAGGAAGTGTTCAATAAAAATGCGTGTCGTTTTATGATTGGTAGATTTAATTAAAAAACCATGTTTATGTTTGAATAACAAATCGGTCTTATAAATTTGCGGCCGAAAACTATTTGCGCCTCGGCTGAGACGTACGAAATGCTTTATTATTAAAATTTTAAATAAAAAAAAATCCGCATTATAATATAAAGCTTAATTAAAAATTGTTTTGGGAAACATGGACAAGTTGGAGTAAAGGAATATCTTTTACTTGGTTACCTGCAGCTATTTTACAGTTTATATGTTTGGTTTTAAATGAAGTTTGGATTTATTATTTTTTTATTTCTATTCTATTTTCTGAAAGGGTCCTAGGAAAGGAATTATCCACCGCGCTGCCCCACTGCGTGTTGGCGAACTTTGCATGTCTTCGAAATATTATTTTTCTTATTTCTCAGACATGCAGGTTTCCTCACAATGTTTTCCTTCACCACTGAGCACGTGGTAAATCAACACCTAAAATTGCAATTACAATATTATTGGTGCTGGCGGGGATCGAACCCGGTTTGCTCGCACACTGTGAAAATTTTAGCAAGCGCTAACCATCTGAGCTACCACGGCTCCTCTCCTCTCGAGCTAGAGACTTTATTTTATTTATCGTCAGGCCTGTTGGTCTAGTGGTTAGTGACCCTGACTGCTATGCCGTAGGTCGTGGTTTCGATTCCCACCCAGGACAAATGTTTGTGTGATGATTTTTATCTATAATATTTATGTATTTAGAAATATATAAGTATGTTTATCAGTTGTCTAGTACCCATAACACAAGCTCTGCTTAGCTTGGGACTAGATGGCGTTGTGTGATATTTGTGGAATATTATTATGGGGTATCTATATAGTTTTCTCATTGGTTGGGTTCTTAAATATATAATTATAAATGAAAATGAAAAAATAAATATACATAAATATCAATAACATTAATAGTACATAAATAAATAAAGCCCAACCAGATGGAGGCCTCGGAGGGGGAAGGGAGGGTTAGGGGGAAGGGAAGAAAGGAGTGGGGGGTAATATTATTATATATATTATTATTGTTGGGGTATCTGTATAGTTTTCTCATCTGGTTGGTATTTATAAATATAAATTAAAATGAAAAGATAAATATACATAAATATCAATAAAATAAAATAAATACTAAAAATATACAAATAAATAAAGATCCAACCATATTAAATAAAAAATAGTCTCCTATCTTTCTCTATATGTTTTGATCTCCTAAAACGAGTTTGAGTTGGTAAAATCAAGGCAAACTTAGGGTAGGGTTGACAATTATTATTTTGATAATAAAACTAGTGAAATTCCGCGGTTTTATATGCGCAAGCGTGAACGTAGTTAGAACATAATATAACCTTTATATTTTACATAAATATCCTAAAAAACTTATTATGTTAATATTTTACTAAGTACCTATAAAATTAACAAGTTTATTGCATTTTTATTTGAGTAATTTTTTATGCAATTTCTTTATCTACGTCTATTTTTAGGAACCTTTATTTAGTCTGAATCATACATAACACTATATTACTGATTTACTTACTTATGCGTAGTTTTTTTTTGCAGTTACAAATATCTTGTGAGGTTGAAAAAGGTAGTAATGAAAAAATAATAAGAATAATAATAAATGTCGTCAACAACCATTTTTAATATCATGGTCCATTAGGTTGCAGCTTCACCGAACCACAACTTATAATAATAATAATAACAATAATAATAACAATAATAAAGGCGTAGGGAAGTGACGACCCCATCGCCCGCTGATATAACAGTTAAGTGACAAAACCGCTACGTCGGCGCAGTCAGTCAGCGCCCTGCCAAGAGGTGTGAGCGCCGTGCCTAGGCAAAATTGTGGGTGCAAAGGTCCGTTTGTGCATAAGACCGAACCACGAAACGGTGCCGGGCTTGGGCGTCTCCCGTTATTTGGCGCCCATAAATGGATGATGGTACAAAGAGGAACGCGCATAGGGCCGCTGCCTGGGGGTCGCCGGGGCGCGTCTGGAGCTGGCGCTGGACGCGGCAGCATGCGGGCCGCCAGCCGAGCGCGAGGAGCTGTACGATCACCTAGCAGCCCTCCGCATCCATCATCCCCACCAGAAGGCTTGGTGTCGGCTGGGTCTTCTCGGACTCAGCAAGCGGCACCCGCCGCTGGTGGAGCACGTCGCATGCGTTGGTCACAAACAATGAACGCAAACGCACTGCGGGCGTACTTTAGGGCAAAAGGGGAAGAAACCGGATGTTTGGCATATCGGGCTCGGATGCATCGCTTTTTTTGCAGAGCTGGAGCCATCTCTATCCGTCACTGAGCAAAACCTGGCAGACCGAGTTCGGTACATCCTGCGCTCCAACATATTTGGTGACGCCGAACTCGAACGACTACGACGTGAGGCTGTTCCCTCATCGGATGGAAATGCTACGGCTGGGAATGCGGCGCCACTAATTGCGCAGCAAACTGCAAATGTGGACGCTGCCGTCAATATTCCATTTGTGGTTGATTCAGACGATGATGGAATAGTCCCCCACGAACTAGAGAAAATGAGGAGCATATTGGAAGAGTCGATGCTGGAAACGCGCAGCATGCCTCTCGAAAATCGACCGCGACTTCCCCGCATACCCCTTAGCAAGCGAAATCGGGCTGTCGTGCGGGCTCTTAACCCAATGCTGGTGACCTATTTGGAAGCCAGCCGGGACCTTTGCGAGACGGACTCAATTCTTTTTGGCGCCGCACTGGCAGTATGCCGTATTATTGGCGCCAAACTTCCCATGGCTGGACGTGCTACTCAACAAGGTAGTGCCATCCCAGCCTGGAGAAAAAGAATCGAGGACCGTATCGCAAAGGCAAGGGCCCTTATCGGCAGACTGACAAGCTTCAGGTCGGGTAATATTAGACCGAGAGTTGTGCGCACCGTTAGAATGGCGTTTGCTGGGACAAATATTAGTTTGTCCCAGCCGGATATCACGCAGAAACTAACGGAGCGCATAGATGACCTGAAGCAAAAAATCGCTGCTTGGGGGAAGCGGATTCGACGATTTAGCGAGAGGTCAAGGCGGTTCAACCAAAATCGTCTCTTCCAGAGTGATCAGAAGAGGCTCTATAAATCATTGGAGCGACCAGAGGTATGTGGAGCGGGCCCAGGACCGGATCAGGCTGACACTGTCGCATTTTGGCGTGGCCTGTGGTCAGAGCCCGTAAACCACAGCGAGGGCCCTTGGATGGAAGTTGTGGCGAGCCAGAGTGCAAGTGTTACGCCTATGGACCCCGTCACCATAACGCCTGAAGACGTGGCTGAGGCGGTCCGTAGGGCCCCGAACTGGAAAAGTCCGGGGCTCGACGGGCTGCATCATTACTGGCTGAAGGGGTTCGTAGTGTGTCACGCTGTGCTCGCCCGACAGTATCAAGAGGCTCTCGATCAGAAGTCGCTCCCGAGCCTCTTCACTACTGGGATCACTCACTTGGTTCCTAAAGATCAGGATACCACAGACCCGAGCAAATACCGCCCCATCACGTGTCTACCCACTATATATAAGACACTGACATCCATTTTGAGCGCGAGAATCACTCGTCACCTGGAGCTAAATCAGGTGATGTCACGCGCTCAAAATGGATGTCGGGGCGGTGGTCGTGGAACCAAGGAACCACTCCTCATTGACGCGGTCATTGGCAAAGTGGTGAAACGCAACCGTCGGAACTTCTCTGCCGCCTGGATAGACTACAGAAAAGCATTCGACTCGGTGCCCCATGCATGGCTAAAGAGGGTCCTCGAGCTGTACAAGATTGACTGTACAGTTAGAGACTTCCTCGAGCAGTGTATGGGGCAGTGGAGTACGATCCTCTGTTATCAGGGCGAGCGGATGATGGCTGCGGAGAACCACATAAGGATAAGAAGGGGTATCTTCCAGGGCGATTGTCTGAGTCCAATCTGGTTCTGCCTCTCTCTGAACCCTCTCAGTACCTTACTGGAGGGCTCCGGGAGAGGATTTCAGCTACGGAAAGGAGGAACAAAAGTGACCCACCTTTTCTATATGGATGACCTCAAGTTATTCGCCTCCAGTCGCTCCCATCTTATGGAATTGCTAAACATCACTTGTGAATTTAGCAATTCCATTGGAATGGAGCTGGGGACGGATAAGTGTGCGGTCCTTCATGTTGAAAGGGGAAGGGTTGCTAACTCTGAGGGCATAGATTTATCTATGCCCGTCAACTTAACGACCCTTTCCGAGGCTGAAACATACCGATACCTGGGTATGTCACAGAACATCGGTATCGATGAGGCTGGTATGAAACAGTCAGTTTGCGACGTGTTTTATGCACGCTTGACCAAAGTGCTTAACAGCCTTTTGTCCGGTGTGAATAAGACACACGCATATAACGGTTGGGTCATGCCTGTCCTCATATATACCTTTGGCATACTCAGGTGGACTCAGACCGAACTTAACGCCCTGGATAGAAAAGTCCGCACTACCATGACGTCCCATAGGATGCATCATCCGAGATCGTCGGTAATGAGGCTGTACTTGCCGCGAAAGCATGGTGGGCGTGGCTTCTTGAGCGCGCTCACCATGCATAATCGCGAAGTGTGCAGCCTCCGTGATTACTTCCTGGCGAGATCGGATGATCCATTCTATAATGACGTCATTTCTAGTGATAAAGGGCTTACCCCTCTATCCTTAGCCCACGAGCAATGGCAGGACCCAGCAGTGCTTAGCATTTCCGACCGGGAGACCGTATGGAAGGAGAAGGAGCTCCACGGGAGGTACTACAGGGCTCTTCATGAGCCCTTCGTAGATACAGTCGCCTCCCTCAACTGGCTACGTTTCGGTGACCTCTTCGGGGAAACCGAGGGTTTTGTCTGTGCAATACAGGATCAGGTTATTAAGACCAACAACTATCGGAGATACATCCTAAAGGATGGCACCGTCGACGTCTGTCGAGCTTGTCGCCATCCCGGTGAATCACTTAGGCATGTCATCTCCGGTTGTTCGGCGCTTTCTAACTCTGAGTACTTGCACAGGCACAACCTAGTAGCCAGAATTCTACACCAGGAGCTCGCTCTGAAATATGGTCTCGTGGACCGGAAATTGCCGTATTACAAGTACTTGCCGGAAGCCGTGCTCGAAAATGACCGCGCCAGGCTCTACTGGGACCGAGCCATCATCACAGACAGGACTATTCTTGCGAATAAGCCTGATATTGTGCTGATGGACCGGGCACAGTCAAGGATATTTTTGGTGGACATTACCATTCCGTATGACGAGAACCTCGTGAAAGCCGAAACAGACAAGAAAACAAAATATCTGGACCTGGCTCACGAGGTGACCGACATGTGGGGTGGTCTGCCGACCGAAATTATTCCTGTAGTCGTCTCTGCAAACGGGCTAATCCCAGTCAGCCTCTCGGGTCATCTGAGGCGACTGGGATTACGTGGCGGACCGCTCCGGGCTCAAATGCAGAAGGCGGTGCTCCTCGATACCGCCCGCATCGTCCGCCGGTTTCTTTCCCTTTCCCCCTAACCCTCGGCCGTTTGGTCTCCCCTGCCGAGGGCCTCCATCTGGTTGGGCTTTTATTTATTTAAGTATTTTTATATTTATTTTATGTTATTGATATTTATGTATATTTATCTTTTCATTCTCATTTATAATTATATATTTATAGAACCCAACCAGATGAGAAAACTATATAGATACCCCACAATAATATAATATTATTTTGTATTTATTTTATTTTATTGATATTAATGTATATTTATCTTTTCATTTTAATTTATAATTTTTATATATTTAAATATTTATATAACCGAACCAGATGAGAAAATTATACGGTTCCAACGATTTTAGCGACGAACGCTTGGATTTATTTTTAGAAAATGTCCTTTCGTCCATGTTTTCAGGCAATAAAAAAACTGCTACAATATAAGAAGGTAAATTTCGACTAATCGTTAACGGTCGTTATAGCTCAGGTGGTATGTCGGTCGGGCGTGATATCGGAGTTCCGTGGTTCGCGTCTTGGCTTTGGTCCCGCTTTTTTTTCCTTTTTTTTTCAAGTTCCCTTCTTTTTGTGAGAAAATTTATTATTTCAAACCCTTTTTTTTAGTAATTTTTAAAAGTACGAAAATTTTAATTTTAAAAATTTGAAAAAAATATCTATTTAGTTACTAATGCTATATTCATTATTTTAATAATTACCTACCCAGTAGGTAAATATTAAAATAATAAATGTAGCATTATAAACAGTAAATCTCCCTCAAACTCAATTTACTAATATTGCTCCTAAATAAGGAATAGCAGATAAAAGATTAGTAGGTAATAACTATTGCTCCTCAAAATTATATTTGACCTCAAGGTAAAACATATCCTAAAATTCAGTAGCTAAATAAAATAATAATAACTACTATTCAAGTATATTTTCAATATGTAAGTAAATGAAAATAACAAAAATGAAGCACCATTAGCATGTAAAGTTCGAATCCATAATTAATATTTCGACAAATATTATAATTTACACTATAAAAAGCTAATTCAATATTAGCAGTATAGTATATAGTTAAAAATAATCAAAATAGTCATTTTTATTAATTAGATAATATATTAGAATACATAATTCTAATATAATGCAACTAATATACCGAATAAAGAAAATTAAAATACATTTATCATTGTACGCCGTGTCTATTTCCATAGAAGAGTTCATTGACATTGAAAAAATAATACTACGTTCGTAGCAGTAGGTGGCGTCTTTTGGCGATTTCTTATGCGATACATTGTAGCGAGCGTCGACAGACCAAACGCTCAAGGTCGTTCGCTGGAGGTAGCGCCTTAATATACTGTGTTATTATCGTGTAAATATTGTTACAATGATACTCTCTTTTTATACGATAACATTATAAAGTCTCTCTTGTCATAATAACTATTCCTTTTTGTAACTGTGTGTGATTTTTGCCTGATTTTATGTACGGACTACGGACCGGGGAATAAAGTAGTATAATAGACATAATAGATAAGTATATTAAATATATTTATATATAAACAAGAATATGCTTTTAAAAGGAATATTATATAGCTACCTAACTTGCCTAATATATTATATATAATAACAATCAATGACACTGTCATTTATTAAATATTTATGTGCCCTATTAAATTTTTTCATATAATTTAAACACATTATCATGATGACTTCGTATAAATAAAATTTATTTTTTGATTATAATTTAGTGAAATATTGTTTTTCATTGTATTTGAAAAGGTTCAGTGGTGTCACCATAGATGGCGCTGTAATAAGTGTTTGTTATATTTTATTTATGATTAAAATGGTACAATTCGGATGAGACATCCGTAACGTAATGTAAGACATTAGCTAACTAAAAATAAAAACTGCGCTCGATTGTTTTCTCTGTAGTCTGTGTTCATGCTAGCCCAGTCACTGGGCCAAGACAATGCAGGAGACATTAAAAAAACTGATGTTGACATGACGTATGCACAATTTATCTTACCGTAAACGTTTTATCCAAAAAATATTAACCTAGATATTTAATGATTCGTGCAAGGTTTGCTTTCTGTCCCTGAAACAGGATTCCAGAACAAGTTAATGTGAGACTCTATGAAATCGTTGTTTCATTTTGGTGCTCGCGAGGAAATATTTTTTCATAGTCTTATTAAATATAGGTGTGGGTAATATAGTCACCTTAAGCTTTGCCACCCTATAAAATCAAAACCGAGAATAGAGACTAAAACACAAAGTCGTATATTATAACTAATACCTATATTTGAAAACAATTGCAAACAAGCTTTGGCAGTAATTAGGAACACTTCGAAAAATCAACCTAAATACAATACACAATACTACAATCGACTCAAATTTTACTATAACGTCAACTGTCATCATGCCGTGCGTGAAGCAACGCCCTTTTGACTCCAATTTTTCATTGACTGATGAAGAGCTATCGTATCACAGAGCCATCTATACAAACAAGGCTGTAGTTTTTTTTGAGTTATAAGAAAGTGACTAATATTAACCGGATTACCATATTACCTTTTAATTAAAATTTATCCACAATTATTAAAGTTAATAAAATTAAACCAAAATCATTAAATTTAGTGTTGTGAATAAATAAATTTTTGTTAGATTTATTTTTCACAATTTTTCTCCCATTAATTCCATGTTCTAACTCACGCTATTAAAAGTTTTAGTCTCCGTAGCATATATAAGACACGTTTACAAGTTAACGAGGGGGTCCGTTTCTACACAGGTAAACAGTGACCGGTTAGAGCTGCTAATTCTACACCCTAACGGTCCGCGAAGCATGTATTTGGGGGTGCGTGCTCTCAGCGGGAGGCCTTGGGTTAATTCCCAACCACCGTTCAATGCCCGGCCGCAATGGCCCGTCTCACGTGAAGTCTTACAAAGTTATCTCAACTGAGTATCTCATGGTAGCGAGGAGTGGCTTACTCCTCAACACCACTGCTGTAGAAACAATGACTCCCCTTTTTGGTTTTATTTCTGTTTGACTTCAAAAAAAGTACTGTGAAATGGTAAGTTTTTTGAAGTCAAACAGAAACTAACAAGAACTAATTTTATTTAAATAAAGAGTAATGAACCGACATCAGAGAGTGTGTAATATTTTTTAAATGGGCTTTAATTATTTGAAACAGTCTTAGCACCGTCTTCAAAAGCTATTACGTGGAAATTATTATATTCTTTAAAGTTCTTTGAATTTGGTTTTAATTGATTTTATTAAGTTCAATTTAGTAGAAATTAAGTAAATCTGTGGATTATGTATGTACCTACGTAAAAAGTTTTTTCCTTTATATTGTTATTTGTTATCCAATCCTGAGCTATTTCATCACACATTTAAAGTCTCTAAGCTTCTCGGAAAGATAGTTTAAAATCAATTTCTGAATTCGACCCGCCCACGACATACACGAAAGTGAGTTAATAAAAACGCTGTAAAATGTAATTATTATGTTTTAATAAGCAGGTGCACCAATATAATTGTAGATATTATATAAAGTTAAAGTTACAGCCTATATACGTCCCACTGCTGGGCACAGGCCTCCTCTCATTTTTGAGAGGATTTTAGGGCAAGGAAGTGTCCGTCGTTTTCCCACGATGTTTTCCTTACCGCCTAGCACGTGGTAAGTATGTCCTTAAAATTGCAATTAACAATTTCATTGGTGCCGGCGGGGATCGAACCCGGGTTGCTTGCGTACTGTGAGATTTACAGCGAACGCTAACCATGTGAGCTACCACGATATGGCTGATATTATTTATTATTATGTTATTATTTATTGTGGGTGAAACTTTAACAATGATTCGTTCGAGACATGGTGTAACAAAGAACCGGTTATTCAATCCAGTCCGATTTCACTGGTCATTAAAGATGCGAAACGTACATCTTGCCCACCTGAAGATCCATTGACCAGAATATTGCGTACTATGCTCCCTTCGTCCGCTTATAGAAATTAATATATGATTTTTGTATTTATGATTATTTAATGATTATTATTGATACAAAAGAATGAAATTATTATTAATATTATTATATTGAGGGTTAATTATCTTCCGTTCACCAGATGTCGCTCGTTGGGACCAAGTTTTTTTTACAGAATAAGGGTGACAAACGTGCATCTATTAACATTCGTAGACAACATTTTTTTTAATTTATTTTTAATATTAAACAAAAAAGGCTACAAGGGGAAAATGGAATACCTCAAAGCCTGTAACTATTACGTAACTAATGTTCTTAATAATAAAAAACCTTAAAAGATAAAATTATGGTTGGAGCCTGTAAAAGTTTTAGAACTTTTGACGGTATAGCATTTTAGAAACATCCTGAACTTGCTGAGAGGAATTAAGAAATAATAAAAATCAAATAATAGTTGAGAATTTTTATCAAAAACAAAAATTTTCCTCAATTATTAAAATCCGAATAGTCCGTAAAGTCCGTCCGAATCTGTTCATATTATCACCAACTCTATTCCACATTGAAATCTTTAGAACGCCGCAAACCGCAACACATTGATTCGCAACAGATTGAACTATCGATCAAGACGTTCAAAAGTTATGAAAGGTTTACATACTTACACACACACGCATACATACGTACATCCGTACGGATGTCCACGTAAAATTAGTCAGAATAGCTTCCTGGGATCTCTAAACGTCGAGATCTGATGAAAACTAGATTTTCGAAAATCGGGGTTAAACCAATAACTTCCCTATTTTTGAAAATTCTCAATTTTCTTAGCGGGAACTTAAAAAGAACACACACTGGAATTGAGAACCTCCTCCTTTTTGAAGTCAGTTAAAATATAAACGGTCAGCTCACGAAACTGTATAAGAGATAAGTTCTAATTTCTTTTTTTGAACATATAGTATCCATAAACATGTGTTTTATTTTAAAACCATAAAAATTTATGGTCCCGTTCTGAGGGAAAAATATATGGTCACATTAAGCTTGCATGACAGCGCAAATAACGAGGATGTTCTAACATATTACATTGGTAATTTAGTGAAAATGGTGTTAAGGTATTGTTTTTTCTGTTTAAATCAGTATAGGCCCAGATAACTCGGTAGCGAAAATAAGGACTAACAGTTTTCTACGAACTTGTGGTATCGGAACTACCTGCAGTCGAACAATGCCTCATGCGCAATTGTAGCGTTCAACGAACAATAGTGTTTACTTTCGACCGATGTCTGTTTTCTAAGATGCACTTCCCATCTTATTTCCGTTGTATCTACTATGTTTGTCCACTATTCATGTAATACGGGTCATCCCCACTGCGCAGACGTCTGCAAAAAGTCCACTGCTGAACCTAGGCCTCCCATAGACAGCCTCATAGGGGTATAGTTACATGTAAGGTTCAGATTTTGAAGCGAAAATTCTAATAGAGTCGTTGTCATTTGAAATACGATGAAACGAAAAAGCCACACTAAAAGAGACGAACATTTAATATAATATAATACAGTATACAATGTAAATTATAAGTTTATTTATATTTTAATTACATAAACCATACAATTATTACCCCATTCCTGATACTCGGCATTTGTCTCCTTCTCTCGAAGTTTAGTTTTCCGAGGCTTTCAATTCTACTGCGTATGAACTGCGCATGTGTTTTTTAGGGAACGATAGATAACAATAATATAGGTAGGTAGGATGAGATAGGTCACAAACGATCACACAGTCCTGTACTCATAGATGATTATGTCGCTCATAGACATCTTAACCTATCCTCGATTAAGAATCAAAATTCAGATGGGTTGTCAACCCTGAGGACTAAGATGCAATGCCTAGTTTCCAGTAAAAAAGGATCTCTAGGTCTCTACATTCACCAAATGAAACCGCAGCATCGAGCTTCTATTTTACACTGGTATTCTGTGAGAGTGTGGTTCTACCCTGGTAAAGCCGACCTTCCTCCACCACGTATAAAATATTTTGGTTAATACATTTTTATATTACTGCGTTATAAAATTTTCATTATAATAACATAAAAGCATAAAATATAGTTAAAATCATTCAAACTGTAACGTAGAGTCACAACGGAAGCCCTAATTCGTTATCTCAATCTGTCGCTTAGTCATTTGGCAAAAATGGCGTCGCTGAGTTTATTACGCAGTGGTTTTGGTTGTTACGTTTAAGAGTTAATTGGCGATTTTTCCGGTGTTCCTTTGTCATTGACATTTTGCGTTTTACAAGAACTGTGTAACTCAGTAGAGTAGACGTTTGTCGATGGTATTTAGATAGTATTATCGAATCATATTTAATGAATAAAGTAAAATGTGAACACACTGCGTACTTCTACTCTATTGTGAACACGTACAAGATCGTCCCCGTCACTACATCAGATTTGATAGACCACAAATCCTCACCCATTCATTAAATACCCATTAAATAACACCCATTCCTTCCAAGGATCATTCGCGAGGCTATTGAAATCAAAAAACATCCCTATTGCAATAGAGAAGATGGCTGGGTGCTACCATCTGCTTGGAATCCTATAATTAATAAAATTAAATCCCAACCCAAGCACACAACTACAAGACTTCAAGATACTTTAAGTTTATACTGCGTATATCGGAACAAATATTAATAATTTTAAAATATTAATAATTTTAAAAATTAATAATATTTAAATATTAATATTTTTCATAAACTTCAATGGAAGTTACTCTCGATTTTCTACGAGTATATTTTTATACTTTAAGAGAGAAAAAGCGCACACACGCAGACATCTATATAACCTCGATAGAAAATCAAAATGCA